CTCCTGCGCGATGGCGAATCGTATGAGCAGCGTAGCGGGAGTATGCGGTCGGTCAAAGCCTGTGATGCTTTTGTACTCCTGAGCCTTGTCTAAATTAAACTCTGGTTCAGGTTCGCAGTGGTTGCTAATAAGGAATTAATTATAAAAAGAGGTTTTATAGAATAGTAAATAAAGTAGAAGGAATAGTAAGAGGCCCTGAATCTAGGGGTTAAGGGATTAACGTAAATCTGTCCTATTACAGATGGTATTGAGCAGTGTTTTAGTGTGGGAGAAGCCTGTTAGAATATAAAAAGCGGGAATGAGAGGTGTCTGGCAGTAAGCAAAGTTACTGACTGAGACAAAAGAGATATCATCTCTTAGGCCTCCACGGATCACGTAGCAGCCTTCTACTTGAAATGTTTCTATTGAAATACCTTTTGCAGCTCATTTGTGTTAAGGTTATTTGCCTATCTCACAGTAAATGGTGCCTTGAGCAGTGCTGTGCAAACTGGCAACAGATGGTCCCTTACACTGTCGCTTTGTTTTTCAGGTCTGTGGTTTGCATGGCTGCTGTGATGGGATGGGGTTAGAAAAAGTAAAGCACCCTGTTGTCAGTTTGAATTCCTTCTTACGCATAAGCACGCCAGCTCATTGCTCCCTCCTTTCCCTGGAAAAGCATTGCTTAGAAAGGCAAACACAGGGAATAATTTTTTAATAAAATCCTCTTTCAGTAAGGTTTTGGTTGCAAATCTCTGATTTGTCTCTTCTCTCACATTTAATAAATATGTGATTCTAGCTTGTATGGTGTTTCACTAGCTTTTACAGGGTTTAGGTGGATTTACAAAATTATTATTTAGCATTAGATATATTTGTTATAAAAATCATTGGGAAAAAAAAAGGCATTATTGCTGGCTTAGAACATTCTTTCTACATTTAAACATCTAATAGGCACAAATCAGATATTAGCCTGGCCACAAGTACTCTTATGTGCATTCAAAGAATAAATGAGATGTTGGGGCAAGCCAGTTTTGGAAAAAAGATAAAAAAAGGGTAGGTAATTTAAAATCAGCTCCCAGACTTCTCTGTAGCATTAACGTACTTAATTTATTGCAGCTTCATGGTTTGTAACGGAGTGTGATTTAACACGTACCTACTGATTTATACTTAATTTTAAGAAAGAAGTGGATGGTCCTGTGGGAGACCGTAAACATCAGAAAGAATTCTTTTAGGCTTCAGCATGTCCTTGCATAGTCTGTGGAATTGAAAAGATAGTTTGATACAAACAAGAAAGAAGTTGGCTCAGATTTTGGCAAATGGGAGAAAAGGAAAAAAAAAATCCTAACCACAATGAGGAAGCTTGCTGCTGCTGCTGCAACGTGATTTTGCTGGATTGAGCTACCATAAAATAGCAGCATAAAACCAGGAAAATACAATGTGGTTCAGCACACAGGTATCTGGGTGACAACCTGAACTTCGTCTGTTTTCTCTGGAGAAAAGACACATATTGTTGCTCAGTAAGAAATGAGGTCAGTCTGTCTGTCTTTCCATATCCTCGATATTGCTAGCTGGCATTCAAACAGCTTTCTCTTCTTCGTAGGGGGCTTTTTCTCCACCATCTTTTCCAGTTTGTTTGGAACTCGAGAGATGAGGATTCTGATCCTGGGACTGGACGGAGCAGGAAAAACAACTATTCTCTACAGGTTACAAGTTGGAGAAGTTGTTACCACCATTCCGAGTAAGTGATTAGTCCCTTAGTGAAAATAGCTGATTTGCCTGTAGCTCTAACACGTAAGCTTTGTCAGCTGAACTTGCTACATGCTTCCTTCATAAACAAAAGGACCTTACATTGCGGGAGCCTTGCACTGTTGTATTTGAAAATGTTTTTGCATAACAGTATTACAGTGTGCTATAGAAATACTACATAAAGGAATATTTTAAGCTGCCCAGCTGAACGTAAAAAGTATTTGATCCTTAAGATTGTTACCAAGATTTGGCAGGCTCTTCTTGATAGATAAATGTTCAGTAAATGGTAGCTGTTGACTACCTAAGTCTTTTGTCTCCTAGTATAGCTGTAACAAGAATCTAGATATCATTATTATTGTATAAAAGATTTTTTTTACATAGGATGGTGTCATGAATTTTACCTATTTAATTTCTTTCTTTTGACAAGGGTCTTCAGTTTGTTATATAAACACTTCTATTTAACACAGAAGAAGAAATCACATGGTTTAACTTTACACTATGTAGAAGGTGTAACAAACAAAACTAAACATGAGATCTCATGGAAGGAGATGATGCTTATTTAAAAAAAATATAACTGATTTCACCAATTGTCTTAGCATTCATGCAGCCACACCCACCTATTACAAACCCAGATGAGTGTGCCGAAGTGGTCTGGCTAGGATCGCTCTCTGTAACATGAGGGACAAGTGACACTTGGCTTTTGAGTCTCTGTCATGTCTTCTTGGGTTCCACCTGAATAGGCACGATAAACTGACTTTGGTCAGGTCTTTTTTACCTTTCAGAAGCCAGCAGCTTACTATGTCATAATTCTTTTGCCCAAGGGTTTTGCTTATTTCAGCCTCTATAAATTTTAGGCAGTCTGCATCTATGATTCACTTCCCTATGTTGTGTTTCTCTGGGCTGGCAGGAAAAGGAATGACATAGGTGATACGCTGTAACCTTATGTCCATCTTCCACATACCAGAATGTCACGTCTTCTGCTGAGAAGTTGGCTGTGCCGTGGTCCTATGAGAGCACAGATCTGGTGTGGACACGGAGGACATGTTCCTTAGTGTTTTATTGGTGTCGGTTGCATATTTGGTTATTAAAACTGGCTGTTTCTTTAACTCTTGCTCTGTTTCTTTTGGTGATTTCAGGCATACTTCTGTTCATTTTTAACAACCTTAGCAATTGTTACAAATCTCTACAATATGTTTACAATGTGTTTTTATTGTTCAAAGAAAAAAACTACCACATTATTTTGAGCAATAAATGTTTGTTGGGGTAACTTCGCAAAGGGCGTGAACTTCGTTATGTAGCTACTCAGAATTTTTAGGCCTGAAAATTTTAAACTAAGTGCTGTCATGTTCTTCAGAAAAATAAAGAAAAATGACTAACGGTGAACTTGTTTAACTTTGTTTCAGCCATTGGTTTCAATGTTGAGACTGTGACATACAAGAATCTCAAATTTCAAGTTTGGGACTTGGGAGGACAGACAAGCATAAGGTAATAGATCTCTTAAAATCAAAAGATATAATTAGATTTCTCTAGAAAAATGCTAAGTTCTTAGAATTCTCATAGCTGGCACTTCTGAAAATTGGTTCTTTTCAGTCTTAAAACCAGCCCATCGTCAGGACGGCACTTTCATCTGACAGAATTCAGTTAGTAAAACCTGTTTTGGACTACAGTTTGGAAAGAAACAAGTGAATGTTTTCACTTGTAAACAGTTTTGCTTTGAAAAAGAGAGTTTACTTGTGTAGTAGACAATTGTGTAGCATTCTGAGAAAGAGGGAAGTGAATGATGTAAACCCAAAAAGATATTTAAATATTCTCAAGAATGCAAAGCTAGGAAGTTGATTTTAGATATAGAAGATAATTTTTTTAGCAAGCTTTACAAATTTTGTAATGAGTCATTACAAACATAATTGTAGTGATCTCTTCAGTATCCTGTATGATCTTTTCATGATTCCTTTTTGAACACTAAGTAAGGTGCAGCTAAGTTAGTTAATAAGAAAGGTGCAGTTAGTAGGGTGTAGGTTCCTTTCCTTTTCAGTAAGATAGTCCTGAAAAAGGTGGTTTGTTTTGATCCATGTTAATTACTTGCCTGTATGAATTAGTCATTTAAGATTTCTCTGTTTATCCTTCTTTGGTCACCATAATGATTATTTAAACTTTCCTTGCTTCTCTGTCCCTTGGTTATGGACCTGATGTCCTGCAGGCAGATTCCCAAATAAATCTGTTCCCAGCATTTCTGTCCTTTCCCTGTTTTCAAGCTGCTTTTTTAATTTTTTTTTTTTTCCCCCTGCTATTGAGAGTATTTGTACTGTCTGTTCCTTTTTGTAGCCTCTTGAAGATATCTTCCTGCTTGCTTCCTGGGGCCTTTCACCCCAGTTTATACCTCCTCTGGGTAATCTGGTTTTCATTATCTGGCTGAAAAGCACCATTAAAAGTGCAAATTATATGACTGGAACTTATCTTTCTTCTGCAGGCCATATTGGCGGTGTTACTATTCAAATACAGATGCAGTTATTTATGTAGTGGACAGCTGTGATCGAGACAGAATTGGCACTTCAAAATCAGAGCTTGTTGCTATGTTAGAGGTAAGAAAACAAGGATGACAATCCTGTCAGTAGAACAGAAATTGAGAAATTAAAACTTTTTTTTTTTTTCCCCCGGAGTGACTGTGAAATTTGATTCAGTGAATCAAGTGAAACTCAGCTTCACTTGTGAAACCTCAGCCCTCAGAATAGGCCCGTGCAACACTTCTGTTATGTGATAAGCACTAAGCGTACTGCAGATATTTCAGAGTTTTGTGCAGCATTGTCTGGGCAAGAAGGGAAGTTATGTGCAGCCTTCTGGTCATAGGAAAATTTATCTGTCTGCAAGGACAGCTGCTCAGTGCTTCAGTAGTGGCAAAATCAGGCCCTGAAGGATTAACGGTAATTAGTATCCCACTTTGTTTTGAAGCTGAAAAGTGTGTGTAGAACAGGGTAATATGAGGAAGAAGATGAGTTGAGCAAAACTTGTTTTCTTTCCCCCCAAATTCCTGCAGGCTCTTTGATATGCCTTGTTAAATCTGACCACCTAATGTAATGGGCATAACCAGCCATGTTTTGAAAGTGATCCTATGTGGTATCACACTGGAATTGAAAAGAAATGCCATTCTTTCACTGAAGAATTTTCTAAAAAAAAAAAACCCCAAAAATCAGCGAAGTGAAAAATCATTATGAGAGCTGCTGAAGTTTCTTTACATTCTGTGGGTTTTCTCTGTTTAAATATATTTGGTGAAAGTCTCTGCAACAACTTGCATGATTCTCCTTTTTTTAAGGAAGAAGAGTTGAAGAAAGCCATTTTGGTGGTATTTGCAAATAAGCAGGATATGGAGCAGGCCATGACACCCACAGAAATGGCAAATGCACTTGGCTTACCAGCTTTGAAGGACCGAAAATGGCAGATATTCAAAACCTCTGCAACCAAAGGCACTGGGCTTGATGAAGCAATGGAGTGGTGAGTAACAGTCTAAGTATACTAGCTTCATTAGAAAAGTATCTTTTACCCTTTTTTTTTTTTTTTTTTAAAGACTGGATCTGCAGAAAGTCTGTCTGACACAAAAGACAAAGGTCCATGTTGAGGAGAAAGCTACTTTCTTCTAAAGTGTCCCACCAGAATACAAATGACTTTTCAGTGAACCTACTTAACCTTTTTCCTAGGTTGGTGGAGGCCTTGAAGAGCAGGCAGTGATACAAAGCTGAGCATCGCAAAGAAGTTTCAGCTCTACCCAGCATCCCTCTTTCTGCAGTCAAGTATTTCCAGGCCACAAATACTTGTAAATAGGACAGATTTGCATTTGACTCCTGTAACGTGGATGCCTCTCTTGAATTGTAAAACTGAACCAAGTGAACGTCTGTAACCATTATGATATTCCATTTCTTTCTTTCTGTTTAAAGGATGTACTTATGTTCATTTGTATGAAAGTCTTACAGGCTTGGAAAGGTGGTGGGTTGGTTTTTTTTTTGTGTCATTTCCCCCCCCCCGCCTTTTGGTGGTTTTGAGTGGCTATTATATTTGTGTAATTAAAACACTAATAAAATCTGGAACTGTCAGCTGTTCTTGTAGGTGTGTTGCTTGCTAGAGGCTGCTGGCTTACAGACCAAAGTCCAACGCTGCCAGTCCTAACAGCCACCTGGCTGAACGTTTGAAGAGAGTGAGTTCCTTAAGCTGATGTTGTTACACCTCAGCATCCTTCTGTGTTGATATGCTGCTACAATGACATACAGCACAGAGCAATAGCTACCTAGCTGTTACTGTAGTGTTGGTTTTCTGAAAGAGAAATAACCTGCTGGGCCAGAGCTGTAATTTGAATTTAACTTCCACCTTCATGAGCTGTTACTCCTGTACTCTTGGCATAGCCAGAAATGACAGTTAAGTTGCTCTGTATAGCTGCAGAAACTAAAAGACAAATCAAAGTCGTAGGGCAGATATTGTTTTCTCCCTGGCAGCTAAGATGTTCACAGGCATGAACGCAGTCATCACATAACCCATCTTGTAAAAACAAAGTAAAATTTAATATAAAAGATCATGGTGGTTGTCCATTCAACTGTACATGCTCTGGTAAATAGCCAGGTCTGGAAAAAATTGAAGAGCTTTTATTTAAGATCCTAGATGAAAAAGAGGACATGAAAAAATACTAATAAATACAATTAAAATATGTAAATACTTTTTTTTAAACACTAATTAGTTCTTTAGCTTGAAGTTACATTTTATAAATTAATCCTCGGGGAAGGAAAAGCCTTTTCATTCCACCACTGCTAAATCTTTCAGTGCATGACTTCGAGGTCTCTTGGCCTTGTAGGCAGGGCGCAGGAATTCTATTTTTCTCTTCCTGGTTTCCGCTTTATTCTTGTGTCTCTTCAGCTTTCTCCTCGCAGCAATGTCAGGGTTTGCTACAGTCTAGTGAAAAACAATACATTTGTGTGTTTAGTTACAAGTAAGGGCTGTCCCTGTAAGCATCAGGTACTTCCTAAGAACCTGATGACTGATAGGATGCCACGGGGGTTTTCTTAGGCTCCTCGAAAGTGAGGGTACGCTGGCTGCTCTGCCCAGGTTTAACTGCTGCTCTTCAGTATGTGGGAAAGCACAGCACGGCTCCCAGCCAGAACCTGCCCTAGAGCATCATCTTAATCAGTTGCTTCTGAAGGTTCAGAGGTGGAACAGTCCTGAACTCACCTTCCCAGCCAGCTCTCAAGCCTTTCAAGAAGCCCTCCTTCTCTTTTCCATAAAAGAAAGCAGAATCTTACCTGCAAAGCCCTCTGCTTTTTCCTCATCACTCTTTTCTGGTTGGCCTGTTTCTGCACAGAAGAAAAGGCAAGTGAAAAAGCCTCCAGTCCAACCAACTTCTTGAGCAGTTCTATGATTTCTTGGGAAAGGTTCTTCAGTGTTGGATCTAGTAAAACAAAATGAATCTTTTCAGCACATGGAATGAAAGCCAAGAGCCCAGTAAGGATTCCTCTTTCTTTACTGATTCATCCTGCCTAATAAACAGTAGAGACCAAAGCAAAGGTGCTTGTGAAATCTAATTCTTCACCAGCTTTCCTAGAGGACCACGAGTGGTGCTTCACTCAGGCAAACAAAAATTAATATTTGTGAGAAGCAAAAAGTTTTTTCCAGAAGGATAATGGCACCCAGAGGTTATTAAAAGTGGCTTGCTGCATAAAGCCACCAGGGCTCCTTTGGAAGAGGCTTTGTTGGAAATAGAGATGATTCCATCCTCGTCAATCAGCATCTCTGTCCAGAAGACACCATAAGGGCTGGGTTAACAGTTAGGATCACAATCACTGAGGAAAATAAAAAAAATATTGGAGTGGGGGGGAGGCTCCAAAGAGATGCTGAGGGGAGGCAGAGCAGGGCACATATTCCCCTCACTCTTCCACAGATGCCTCTTCAAGTGCTTGTTCAGCCTCCAGAGAAGCTCGCCTAAGCTGCTTGCCTCCACAACACTCTTCAGCGACACCCCTTCTCACATGAAAAAAACCCTCTCTGCAGTTATTCTGAAAAATCATTTGAAGGCCCTTGGTTCTTGTGCTGGCAGAGAAAGCAGTCATGATACCATCAATCTCTACCATATCTTTGCCAAGTCTCTCTGTTGCTTAGCTAAAAAAAAAAAACCAAAACAAAACATAGCCAAGGCAGCTATTCCTTACCTAGAACACTGTTCCTGCCCTCCTCCCAAGTTTTTTTCAGTTCTTCTGTATCCTTTCTGAGATGTGGGGGACCCAGTGCTGCACACTGAATTTTCATGGCATATACAAACCACAGATTTGTTCCTTTCCTGACACTGGATTTTGCTTGACTTTTAACACATTTTCATGAACTCTCTGAACAGCAGTGTCTTACTCTTACACCAAGAGCCTATCGTGCTAAATGGGAAGTTGGTTTGTCCTTCCCCCACCAGGCATGACTTCTTTTAAGATCTTTTAAACAAACATGGATCTCCAGGGAAAAACATGCACTGTTGCTCAGGTAGTGTCTGGCAGGACAGAGTGACCTGGACTCATTCAGGAGGAAGGGAAAAGTTCTGTGCACAGTTCAGTAGGAGCACACGTGCCTGCGCACACAGCGTGCTGCGTTCCCGGAGCACCCAGCTCCCTTCCCCTACCTGCAAGGGCTACTTTATTTCAGTCACTGTGCACACTTCACACACTGAAGGTCATCTTCTCTATTCAAAAGAGGGCGCTTGGGGAAAACATAAAGCACCCACCACCAGCAGTTCTGACTGGTACAGTCCCTTGCTCTACAATAACACAAGCTGCCATAAAACACACCCTGGTTTACATTAAAACTGAAACATGCTTTCAACTCATGACAGATCTAAGGTGACAATTCAAAAATAACGACGCTTGGCAACAGTCTTGTTCCGGCTTCCTTCAGACCCACGCTCTGTTCCTCTCCTCAGCAAGGATTCCATGACTCTTCCCACTGTGAGTCCACCCTTGAGTATTACACTTTTTCCATTACATCACACGCTCAAGCTTTACCCACTTGCATGCAGAAGCCTGCCCAACTTTCTTCCAGTCTGTGACATCACGTAGATTTTTGTTTCACTGTGATACGCTCCTCTCCTGATACTCTGGTTAGACCACAAGTAAGTGAAATTCCCTGATTACGGCATCTATGCCTCAAGAGACAAAAGGAACGACAGGCAGTGCTTGTGCCGAGGCAGAGCTCTGACACTTTTGCTAGTCTTTGTGAGGGAATCACTTACCTTGCTCTGCATAGGTGCTGTTCAGCTCCCTGTACAGAGGGCTGAGAATTGTGGGAAGGTACGGCTTGATCCTGTCTTTCCCCAGATCCACCGAGATCGCTCCCAGGAACTTAAAGACGCAGCTTCTCTGAAAATGAGTGTGTGGGACATGAAGTAAGCAAGGTTGGAAGGAAACTGCCTAATGGAACTGCTACAACAGGGCCTGGGTATCACTGTTCAACGTACAAGGCATTGTTTCAGACACCTGAGTCAGAAACTCACTGCTGTCTTACTGCAGCCAAGCACAGCCTTTAGATGAGACAACCCCAAGAGATCTGTAAACGTGTGAGCTGTGACTTCACCGGGTTGGCAGCCGTTAACACTTGGAACAACAGGCTTGTTCTCACTGTCCTGTGCTGAAGCAGCTGAAGACAAAAGCTGTGCCTCTGTAACTATACACCACAGGGAACCACAGTGCTCTTCCTGATGCTCTCCCACACCCTCCCCTTCTCCTAGCAAGTAACTCCACACTGCCATTCCCCTGCCTGCATAAACCCAGCACCCTTGGGCTTTCAAGTGCTCTGTCCCCTTCAGCTCAGTGCCTTTGGCCTTCCCGCCCTTCCACCACCCCACACGAGGGCTGGAAGCAACAGCAAGGAGCAGCAGACTGGTACAAGCCTTTCCTGAGAACCCTGAACTGAAATGCTTGTTGTTTCTTCGGCACCTACTACCCCTCGTTGCAGCACCAGCTCCCTGCACCCTCCACGGCTGGTCCCCTGGAAGCAAAGAGCCAGAGCAACACTCTGCTGTGCCAGTGCCGACCGCATCCAAAGCGGTTAGTTTAACCCTGTTCTTACCTTTAAAGGGACCTTAGGGGAATAGGCTGCTTCTCGCTTTGCCATAAGAGAGAGCTTCTTCATTAACCACAGCAATGTGGCTGGCCGGCCCTTCTCTTCTGTGTCCTCTCTTTCTCCCTCTCCTTGAGCAGAAATGTCTTTCTCTTCCTCATCTCCTTCGGCCTCCTGCTCTTCCACTTCACAGACGAGTTCTCCTTCAGCCTCTTTTTCTTCTTCTAAGGCAGGGGCTAGCAAGTAAACAACTTTGGCCACAAAAAGCAAATTCTTTATAACCTGAAGGGTGAAAACAGAGTAGTCGGTGACTATGGGTTCTCTCACTGTCAGGACCAGGGCATGCAAGAGCCAAGGCTAGATCTGAAAGAGGAACCTGCCAACCCAGGAGGCTGTAATGGCTTCACCAACTGCCTGTGAGCCCTGTGCAGAGCACGTTGCTCCCAACAGCAGGGCCCACCTCAATATCCTCCTGCAGTTTGGGAGAGTCTTTTCCCATGAGTTACTGTGCCTTTTGGGCTCCAGCACTTCCTGACGCAGGGCTGCTCCTTTTGTCTTCTCCACCTCTGGCACCCCCTGGCTCTCCACAAGGAAATCTCTGACCAGGTTCAGAGTGGAGTCAGACCTTCAAGCAACAGCACCAAGCAGGACTAAGCGCTCCCAGCAAACAACCAGGGCTCCAGTGCAGCTGCAGAGAACCAGCGCCAGAGATCTGGATCCCTACTCCAGGATGTGGTTGCCCAACCTGCTCCAGCCTGGGCTGCAGAGCCAGACTCTCTGACACCCCGCACGGTGCCTCCCCTTTCTGTCCCTACCAGCCCTTGGCCCTTCCAGCAGGCTGACATCACAAGGACTCTTCTGGGCCCCTCTGAGGCACGCACCTCAGCACAGAGCAGCTGGCCCTGCGCTATTTGCCCCGAGCCACCACCAGCCAGCAGCACTGCTGTCCTGACTGGGATCTAATGCTCCCTCAGGGGCCAGGGCCTGCTCTGTGGCCTCCTGCAGCCCCAGACCTGCTCCCGCTCTTACCTGCTCTCCCAGAGACAGGTCCAGGAACTTGGACTGCAGCTGATGGCAGAATGCAAACGCAAGTTCCTTCATCTGGGGAGAGGAAAAAGGAGAAGGAAATTATGCCATGAAAGGGACCCAGTAGCAGAAACTCAAAGCAGTGTTTTGCAGTCACCAAAGGTGGTTGCCACAGGACCACCAATGGACTGGCTCAGCACAACTTCTGTCTGCACCTTGCAGCCTAGAGGGGAACCTTTGTGCTGCTGAGAATAAGGCCCCAGAGAAGCTCCCTCCCAGCAGCAGAGACACCTCAAATGCTTTAAGCGATCAGGATTAGGCAGCACATCAACAACTAAAAAAGAAATGTGCATACCAAACTATAATGCTATTTTTATGCATGGATTGAGAGCAGCCCTGAGGAGGAGGACTTGGGTGTCCTTGATTGATGAAAAGCTCAACATGAGCCGGCAATGTGCAATTGCAGCCCAGAAAGGCAACCGTGTCCTGGGCTGCATCAAAAGAAGTGCGACCAGCAGGTCGAGGGAGGTGATTCTGCCCCTCTACTCTGCTCTTGTGAGACCCCACCTGGAGTACTGCATCCAGCTCTGGGGGCCCCAGTACAAGA